ATGATCAATGCCAGTAACATTAGTGCCACTACTTACAGCAGCAAGAATACAGAAGTGGCAAGGCTAGCAGCAGTAATGCTAACCGCAGCAGCAATAGCAGTAATGATATTAGAAGTAGAACAGCAATAGCAGTAGTGACGCTAGTGGATGGATCATTATCATAATTACCGTCAAATATTCCAGCCGGCGTCATACACTATTACCCTCACGATTTCACGATTTCAGCCACTTTGTTAAAATTGTGCGAATGAATGAATGAATACATATACGGACATGCGTATCTGCAGGAATAGATGCATATCTGTCTTTGTCTGATAGATATACATTTATCTAGAGCTAACTATCCGGTAGAAATGCATGGCTAGACTGAGAGATATGAACTGATTTCTGTATATATGCCTGTGCATATACATGGCCATTCGTTGGATCAGGCCTCGCACAAATCTATCCAACTGACCGTTAAAACGCAGTCACTATTTATTTTCATTGGGGACATTTAACATCATATAGTCTAAAGAAAAGCACATTTAGTAATATTTATTGCTCGAGGATGTAGTTCATTTACGAAGGTTACAGACACAAAAGAATCGGAATTTTCACGCGTTTTCTTCGTGTTTTTTCCTTAATGTGGCCAAAGCTTTTAGCTGTTTCTAGAAAACTGGCGTGAGTTTGAGGTATGTGCGGTCACTGAACCAAAACCTCTAAATTGCATATTTTACACAATTATGAATATCCAAGAGAAACTAATGTGGATGTTTGAATAATTATTTACGACCTATTCCACGAAATCTCCACAGACGTAATGAATCGTTAGCTAGTCTACGGCCGAGTTTAAAATAAAAAAAAAATCTTGTTTTGGCGAATTCAGAGCTCCGTGGAATCATGCTAACAGTCGACATCCATCATTTTTTGGCAATTGTATAAACAGTTTAGATAGTAGGCGAAATAACTACATTTTTGCTCAATCTGTACAAACAGGACTCCAGAATCAATCTCTCTCTCTCTCTCTGACCTTTTCACCTCGTAAAATTCGTCCAAAAAGGAAAACAAAGCCATATTTCTAGTGATCACAACAGCAAAAAATTACGTTCATCGCAAAGCCGAATAAGATAAAAACCACCTCAATAAACACAGGCATCAACGAAAACATGGGGAGATTTTCCAAGATTTCCCCCAAAACTGTATCATCAGCTTTACCTAATATCGAGGCCCATTTTTGAGTCAGCCGCGCGTTTTCTTCGACTAAACCACGCATACTCTCGGCACTCCCTCGAGTTTACCAAGACAGTGAAAACACCAACACCGATTTTCTCGTCCATGAATGACCATCGTACACCTGTCGTCTACAAGATGGCGGTGCCTGTCTATGCGACGTTGCCAAACCTCCCATCCGTCCGTCGACAGGAAGCACACGTTTGCACTCGCGCTTGCCGTGATGTGGCACAACCGCGTGGCCCTATGTGTGTCAATATGATCCCGGGTTTTCTCACGGGAAGATAGTTGCGGTCGAGGGAGGAAGGCATTTGTTTAGAGATCTGTTGGCAGTAGGGAGGGGGGGGGGTATTTACTCTTTATATATTTTATTTGCAAGAGTGGAAGAGGGTAGTAGTGAAATTGGAAAAGAAAGGCGATGGAGAGAGAGAGAGAGAGAGAGAGAGAGAAGAGAGAGAGAGAGGAAGAGAGAGAGGAGAGAGAGAGAGAGAGAGAGAGAGAGAGACGATTGGACGAGAGAAGGAAAAGAAGAAAGAGAAAGAGAAAGAGAAAGAGAGGGGAGAGGAGGAGGTGGGGGAGGGAGTGGGGGAGAAGGGGAGGGGAGAGATCAGAGAGGGGGGAGGAGAGGAGGAGGAATAGAGAAGCACAGCGACAGGGAGGAGCACTAAGAAGAAAGAAGAGGAAAGCGAGGTCGTAAACATATAGATTTTTCGTTGGCAGTTCAATATCATGTGGTATATGAGCTGGAGCGGAGGTACTGATGAGGACAAGTGTCGGTCTGGAGGATAGTTGAGTGTCGGGGGGAGAGCAAGATTGCCAAGAGTCTAAATTGAGAAGTGATTTGTATGAAACTAAGAAACATTAAAATTCAATGATATTTTAGTGTAGGTAGAAGGGGCGTGGGGATGAAGATAATAGATTGTGATGATTATGAAATCATATTCATCGTTGGGGGACATGATTCGATAATAGTGTAGTATTTTTCTTGTAAAATATTCTATATGCTCTTGTAAGATCTTGAAATGTTCCTAAATCTAAGAAACTACTACAAAGATCTCAAATTAAATCAGCTATTATAGGATAGGTAACAGTGAGAATGGGACAATGGCAATTAATAGGAAGTTGAAGGAGCGAGGCGAATGTATATGATGGATAAAAAATCGACTGGATGATTTGAGTTTATTCGGACTTGGAGATTAAGAATTATGATATCATTAAAGGTGGAGCGGGATGCGCTTAACTGAGTTGACTAGGATCCGATAGATGATAAATAATCGAAATGATGATGAGATGATAAAGATAATGATGATGAATGATATTCCATGAAAAAATGGTGGGTGCGGTGAATATGGATAGACTGAGTAAAGAGTAAACAGAAACAATTATAAAGTAAATGATGGAGTGGATAATAACTATGGAGGAATGATGGAGCGGACAAGATCGGAGTGAAGGTGAGAACTAATAATTGAAATCAGTTGAAATAGTGACTGATGGAAAGATGGATAAATAATAATAAGTAACGAATGGCTGGAATTTACGGAATAATAAGCATAGTAAAGAAGAGAAATAATGGAATAGTGATAATGATCATAACAATGAAGAGTGGCGAAACAGACAAAATAACAATAGGATGAATGAGCATAATGAAAGATAGAACGAGTAGAAGATGGCAGGAGAAATAATAGATGAAAAACTAAAATAAGATTAAGCAGTATAATGATAATATGCGAAAGTAAATCAAGATGGGATAAATGATATCAAAGTGAATAACGGATAGATGAACTAATAACGATAAGTGATGTAGATGAATAGTAAATGCATGATGATAATGGAATTAAGTAGGATAACTGATAAATAATGATAATGAATAATAATTAATAAGGAAATAATTACTAACAAAAGAGCGAAGCAAAAATAGGAGTGGGTGAATAGTGTAATAGCTAATAGTGAGTAGAGTAAAAGTAAATGTAACTACACTACTACGAATAGAATGATAATAATAAAATAGAATAATTAAAAATAGAGTAATAATAATAATAATAAAATGATAAATAAAGTAAATAAGTGGAGTGAATATAGGATGAATAATGATAATGATATAATAATGGGAGAGGAGTGAGGAGCGTGAGCGATGGATAGATGATCAGTTAAATAATGAGTAGAGAGAAGATAAAGAATAATGATAGTGGGATAATAATAATAAGGAATGATGATAATAAAAGTGGGACAATGAGGAGTGGATAATAATAATAAATAAGCGGGAATAATAAATGAAAAACAATAATGCGGAGTACTACTACACTACAACTAAAGGAGATAATGACAAAGTGAAAAAGACGAAGAAGATAACCAAAGAGAAGATGAAGGGAGAGAGAAGAGAAGAGAGAGACGAAATAGAGAGAATAACAGAGCAATAAGAGAGAGAAAGAATAGAATACTTATAGAACGTGATAAAAAACGTTGGAGAAAAAAAAAGAATGAGACTTCCCAATTAATCAGCTATCAATGTGAGCAATAAAGTCGCCTTGATAATGACAACACATTTTGTGTAAGAAAGCTATAACCTTCATATGACAGATATTTACGTATCACAGTTAAAAATAAATATAAAAATCCTGAGACGAGAAAGAGAGAAAAAACAAACAAACAAAATATTGGAAATAATGAGCTTCATCAGACCCCCCCTCCCTTCCATGCTCTCATTCCCATCGTCCGAGCATCAAGAGAAATGACACATCGAGAGAAAGAAAGAAAAGGAACGAGTTAATCAAGTGACACTTTCCGGACGCGCGACCATCGGCGGGTAATGGATGGGTCGCCGCACCTGTCGTCGCTGCCGCCAACGCCAACGGACCTCAGCGCGGCGATCGGGCGAGGCTTTCCCTCCGAGCCGCTTCCGGTGGAGGCGCGGAAGGAGGAGGAGGCTTTCCTCGTGTCTCTCTCTCTTCTTTATCGGGCTCGGTCCGATTTCTCTTTCTTTCTCTCTCAGTTCCGCTCACTCTTTTTCTCTTTCTCTCACTCATCATTTTTTTCTCTTTCCTCACTTTCTCTCTTTCTCATATTCTCTCTCTCTCTGAATCATACACTTACCTTCCTCACCTCTCCTTTCTCTCTCTCATCTCCTGCCTGCTCTCTCCTCTCACCACACACAACACAAAAAACAACACACACAACACAACATCAACACACAAACACACAAATCACCAACACAATCTCTACCAGACTCACTCAACTCACTCTGACTAATAAACATACACTCACTCAACCGTCTACTCAGGCGCAATCTCATCTCACTCACTCACATATCACTCAATCACTACACTACACTCACTTTCACTCACTCACTCATGTCCACCTACTAGTGTGCGTTCATTCACTTGACAGTCACAATAGCGAATTGATTATGTGAGCAGACTACATAATACGTATCTGAGTACATGCAATGGTACCATATGTGTGCGTAGGCGCGGGCAAGACTGCATGATGTAATCTAGGCAATGTCAGAATATGTTGTGGCGCTGTGTTCAGGGTATCCTTCGAAATAATATAAAATATGTGTACCCAACATACGTTCAAGGCGACGGCTTAAAGATCACTGGAAAGTATTATAGACTGACACGTTCCGTACTTTTCATAAATGTCAAGGTAACATAGCAATCGGCTTTATTTTTCATAGAGTTCCGTCTACATTTATCTTCAGTACAATCCTGCTCAGCTGATCACAGGCAGAGCAAACGATACCAATTTACTCTTTTCTTTCTATTTTTCTTATTCTTATTTTAAATCTTTATGCAGAAAAAAATCCAAATATCTAATTTATTTTATTTTATCATTTATTCGTTTTCTTTTTCGATTTCTTTTCTCATCTTTTAGGCGAGTTTTGATTGTGCGGAAGAAACTCCATCAATCCATTTTATTCAATTAATTTATCTCATATTTCATTCGTTTTTTCTGTCTTTCTGTCGAGTTTGATTTCGCTGAATGAAACGAAGAAATGTCTTTATTTGTTCATTTATTTCTTATATTCTTTTTCTTTTTTATATTTCTTCCAGACGAGCCTTTGAACAGTGACGCAAGTAAAGAGAAAAAAGAAAAAGAATAGAAGAATATGAGAAAATAAGAGAACGATGACTACATAAAATAAAACTGTATATTATACTGAAGGTGAAATGAGCTGTGAAAAATTTGTGTTAGTAAATCGCAATGTGGTGACAGATGACTGAATTTAAAAAAAAAAAAACAGTGAACGTGAGATGAAGTAAAAGTTGAGTGAGTGAGTGGTGAGAGACAAGAGAGAAGATCACCATAGAGCAGACGCAAGATGAGAGAGACAGAGATGTGAAGAGAGAGACGAGAGAGAGATGAGGAAGAGAGAGAGAGAGATATCGAGTAGTTTAATAGCCTCTCTCTCTATTGAATTCACCGACGCCACACCCACACGCGCCCAACCGCTGCATCCGCCGTCGAGTCTGAGGACGAAGCGAACACCAAAACAAAACACGCCCCAAACCCTCTCTTTCGCATCCAATCCTGGCGCACACAACGTTTCTTCGCCTATGCAGGAAGAAACACTAAAAACAATGAAATGAATTCAAATCACCCATTTTAGAAGCTACAAACTACTTTGCCCTTCCTTCCTTTCTTCCCCCTTCACCTCCTCCTCCTTCTTCCTTTCCCTATTCCCCCTCCTCCTCTTCTTCCTCTCCCTTCTTCTCCTCCTCTTCTTCCTTCTCCAATATCCCTCATTCCTCTGTTCCTCCGTTCCCCTCCTCCTCTTCCTATCTCCTTGTTTCACCTTCCTCCTCTGTATCCACTGCATTTCCCCTCCACCTCTTCTTTTCCTATTCTCCTCTATTCCCCCTCGCTGCCTCTTTCTTCCATCCTCCCCTCCCTCTTCCCTCTTTTCCCCTTCCTTATCCTCTCCCTCTCCCTCCCTCCCCCCCGCCGGATCCTGCTCGCCGCGCCCGCGCAGACGCCGTAAATACCAAAACAGATTCTGCAGCCTTCGGACGGGAACAAACCTCTGTGAAATCCTCCCGCCTCGCTGTCGTCCCTTGGTAATTAATCACGCCCCCCCCTCCCCGCCCCCTGTTGTTGACCGTTTGCTTCTGGGATAAAATAAACCCGCATCCTCCTTCTCCTTCTTCTTCTTTCCTCTTTCTTTTTTCATTCTGGCAACAATGTTTACTCCGGATGAATGACGTTGAAGGAGTGGATGCCGTGTGACGGGCTTGTGTTTGTTTTTGTTAAGGGAGTTTGTTTACGATCTGCTACATACGGGACGACGTCGAGGGAGCAGACGACAAAGAACCGGGACAGACGTCGAGCTGGCAAGGAAACTAACTAACGGCAGAATCGAAAATCTTTCGCTATAGTCTCTGTCATTTTATCAGGTTCTCTGAGGTTTCGTACTTTTATAGTCATTTCCGATCATCCATCACGATTCGAAGCTTTAAAAACAGCCAAAGCCTTTTTACACAACGTATTTCTTTCCCAAACGTTACACACAATACATCACTTATAACCTACACTGGAGATAAAACAATTAACTTATCTACTTATTCCGAGCACGAGAGGGAAAAACTAAAAAAAAAATCTGAAAAAA